CTCCCATTGATCAGCCCACACCCGCTCGCTCTTGTTGCGAGCAGCAGGAAATGAAAAGCATCACTGGAGACAGCACAGCGGCATGCTTTCCCTTAATTCCTAATTAAGTTTAATTCCCAAACTGGTGTTGTTCTGTTTGCTAACAACAGAGTGCAGGAGGATCAAAAGGATTGTGATGAACATAAGGGAGAGATGATGAAAGAGCAGCAAAATGAAAAAGCTGTCTTATCTTTAAAGGCATTGTGCTGTTGCTCATGTGTTTGCATCTTTGGACTGAAAGCAAAGCTCAGTTTGAAAGAGAGCGCAACATTTAAAAATCAGGTAAGTTTGATGGGGTGTAACCATTCTGTTTTATCACAGTTTCATCTTCCCCTGTTGTGACAGCCAGAGATGCTAATGCCTGGTTGAAGTGCGCTAGTCTGGTTAAAGGTGTGATGTTTAATGAACGTTGAGTTAACGAGTAAACTGAAAATATAGCAGAATAAATTAGTTTATTCTGCCTGAGCAACTGATCAGGCTTATGGTAAAAATAATTAAACTGAATAGGAATGCACCAAAGATATGGCCCAGATCCTCACTCAAAAAGCTGGATGGGATATCTGCAACAAACAACCCACAAACAGCCCAGTTCTATGTCCTGTATTTATGCTGAAGAGCTAATTTAGACTGGGGGAAGTTAACAGCAAAGGTTCAGCAGTCTGGAGGTATTTCACACCTTCAACATCAACTGATTTTCTTCATGTTTGAATATATTTTTTATTCAACTAGAAACTGTGGTACCAGGATCAAGAAGCTCAGCAAAGACTCATTTGTTTACTATACCTCTGTACATTTGTTCAGAGAGACATTATATTTGGTAGAAGCTAGGAGGACACTGGTTCCACCGTTGTGACATGTTGTGAAACACTCGATGCACAATTTCAGCTGAACAGTAAAAGGTCTCAGACAGAAAGGAAATGGAAAACTACCAATACATTTTTAAAAATATATATTGTTTGTGTTGCGCCTGATGTCATGCATTATTCTTCTCACTGAAATAAAAGGAGTCAATTTCTAAACTAAATTATCAGCTTTTATTAGCAAATTATAAAATCTTGTATGAATGTGCCTAAGTTTATTTTAAAACGTCAATATATCAGAGTTAAGTTGAGCTTGATGTTGCCTTAGCACCGAGAGAATGATTCCTAGTTTCCTTCACACAATGAGAAATACAGCATAATCAAATACTGGCATTAGATCAACGCTCAATTAGATCAAACCCTATCTGCAGACATGTGAGGTCTAGTTATTTATCTTGGAACTGGAAAAATTTGGATTGGAGCACCACTAGGTAAGCCACTTCCCCACTGGCTTCCCTTTTCAGACCAAGGAGCTACACCCATCTTTTATTCTGTCTATGGTTTGGGGTTTTAGGCTTCAGGTGTCTCAACTTGGCCTGTCATGCTAATACTCTGCAAGGACACATCGACCATATCTTACCTGGTGTCAGTCTATCAGTTATGCAGGTAACTCCCCCTTTAGCAAACAGATTTATTACTGGACATAATCTAGTACTCAACAGCTGTCATTATCTTTACCCCACAGTCACGCTTCAGTCCTCCTGCTGAAGTGTGCAGGGGCTATATGCCTTATCAGCATCTGGTTGACTCTAAACAGCGCCAATGTGACATTTTTCCATTTATAACCATTGTCATAACACACGTTTACACAATAGGAATAAAAAAAACTAAAAAAAATAAAAGGTCAGAGGCGCTAACATGGCTGCCACCAAACACAGCAACGTCCAGGCTCTTTCAGAGAGCGGCTCTGGCTGCAGGAGCTGCTCGGCTAGCTGACGTTAGCGCGCCAGTCACAAACGGCAAACGTTAGCACAAGATAAGCTCAGCCAGAAATAAACTAACGGGCTCGTACCAGGAGCCCGGTAATTCAACACACACTGGTGTTTAAATTAAAAGATGCTAATAATTAATTTGAAAGCAAAAGGCCGCCGAATATCGCATTCTTCGGTTGCAGAAATGAATGAACAGCAACGGTTAGCTGGCTACATTAGCAGTGATGTCGCACAGGGAGGATGGAGAGAGATTGAATGAGCGCAAACAAACCTTTGCGCCTTCTGGATATCACGGAGAAAAGAAAAAAAAACTCCGTCGATGAAAACTGCTTCTCCACGCAAAAACACGGGAAGAGTTATGTGGGGTGAGCCCGCTGAATACTACTGGGATACAGTCGAGGAGAGCACGGTTATCTGCTGGAGGAGATGGACCGTGGATGACAGCTCGGCCCGGATAACGGTGCGCCGCTGAGGACAGGTTCCTTTGCGACTGAGCATGCGCACCAGGGTGGCTGGAAGCGTAAAGGGTGCATTCAGGCACCGCAGAAATTAAGAGCATAGCGGTATTCATAAGTATGAAATGACTGAAAAGGAACACTCAGCATTAAACACATAACTAAACAAATCTTGAATATTGAATAAAAAAAAAAAAGTAAATGAATACATATATAAATAAAAATAGCTTACAAATTACACAAATGAAAAAGCTCAATGACATTATTTAGAGAAAAATACATTTCTCTAAACAATACATTTATTAATACAAAATTTAGAGAAAAAAGTAAAATAAACAAGTTCAGAGCTCTTTCTTGTCTGTCAGGGTAAAGGTCAAGCTAACAGATGATGTGAAGGAGGAGTCTCCATGAACTATGATTTGCAGATTAACCTGTGACCTGAGAGTAGGGAGGAGTTAGAAGAGAGTCTGAAAGGGTGGAGGTATTCTCTGGAGTGAAGAAGAATGAAAATCGGAAAAACCAAGACTAGAACAGGGAGGCAGACCTAATGGTGAAGACAGAAGAAACCAAAGCTAGTGAAGGTAGATTATTTTAAATATGACATACAACATAATTTCCTCTTGAATGAATAAAGTATTTTGATTCCTGGAGTCAACCATCCAAAGCAACACATGAAGAAGAAAGTGCAGGTAGAGGGGATTTAGACACGTGTTAGTGATGATTTGTGGTAGAAAGACAGTAGCAAGAATGAAAGTGAAGGCTTTCATGATGGTATGAGACCTGCTGTGAAGGTGGTCCTGATAAAAAGACAGGAAGCCGAGCTGGAGGTGGAGTTAATAATGCTAAAATTTTCATTGTGAGCCTCTAGGATGGACAAGATCAGAAATGAGTACATCAGAGGGAGAAGTCAGTTTTGGAGCAGTTAACAGACAAAGCTAAAGAGGCAGGCTGGGATAGTTTGGACTTGTGCAGAGGAGGGCATTGAAGATG